TTTTGAATATAATAACATTGCTTTCTCCTTTGAAAAATAGAGCTTGGGGCATGCTAAAATCCACAATCTTGTGAATTTTAAACCGAAAATATTGTTTATGATGATGATCTCATCTCCAAAGTTCAAGAATAAAAGGCTGTGTTAGCTAATTGGACTGTATTATATATAAGCAGTTAAATTAATAGAGAACTCACACTTTCATGGAAATTCATATCAGCCATCTTTTATTATTTGAAGTGTGGTGAGTCAGGGTGGGAGAATAAAGGAAGAGCTGCAGTCACAACTGATGTCATGTCAGGGAAGGGAAGACAAGGGACAAGGAGGATTGCCAATGATATCATTATACATCAGGGATGCTAAGGTCCTTGGTAATTTGCTAAAGTCACCTCCCATCATGGCATCGGGTAGCTGTAATGGACTGAACTTCAACTCTGCAAATAAACAGAGGTATTTCAAATAACTACTTATAGAAGAAGGAGAATTAGAAGGGGGAAGGAGAATGAACTGAAATCAATTTAATCTGTATTCACACAACACATCTCGCCTGGTTATTGATTTGGCTTATTTTCTGGTTATGTCCAATGGGTTGATTAAGTTAACCAAGTGGGATGAATTAACATAGAATTCTAAACTATCACCGTCTCACCAAAATAACCCAAACAAAGAATTTTAATGTGCAGGGCAAATGCATATGAGAGAAGTTTACCTGGCCTGGTTAAACATGTTGTGTGCATATACCTAGATATAAGAGGAAATCAGATCTCCAGGAGTTCTCGATTTATGACCAGTTGCTTGGTGACTGTTTGACACACAATGTCCAGGCCCCTCTTGCATAACTGTATTTTGGGTGCTGAGCAACTGACCTGCATTTATGGCCATTCGCAGCACCCTGTAATCACATTACTGTAATCTATGATGTTTTTGCCAGAAATAGATATTTACTTCCAGTTTCTGGCAAAAACTCCCCATAGTGAACAATGGGTTTGCTTAATGGCCATGGTGTTCACTTAAAGACTATGGCATTTGCTTTACAACCATCACAAAAAAGGTTGTAAAATTGGTCACAGTCACGTGACAACCCATTTTAAAAGTCTCATGATTTACGGCCAAAATTTCAGACTCAATTATGGTCATCAGTCCAGGATTACCTATATTTAAGGCCAGTTAAGTCCTAACTTAATTTTTTAAAATGTCTGTGGAGATTCTCAGTCATCCAGGTCATAGTTGTCTCAAAGGTGCTTTATACAAAGGGCAGCTGGACTGGTTTTTGTTTTTGCTTTTTGTTTTTTTGAAGAAGAAGAAGGAGGAGGAGGAGGAGAAGAAGAAGGAGAAGGAGAAGGAGGAGGAGAAGAAGAAGAAGGAGAAGAAGAAGGAGGAGGAGGAGGAGGAGGAGGAGGAGGAGGAGGAGGAGGAGGAGGAGGAGGAGAAGCAGCTTCTCATCCAAGAAGCTTCGGTTCTAACAGGATGTGTGTGTGTGTGTGTGTGTGTAAGGATCATATTTCTTTACAATCTTTTAAATTTTAACACCCACCATGGCCCCCTGAGGTCAAACACAGTCATCAATGAAATCGAGTTTAACACCCCTCGTCTAAGTGAATAAAGATAAGAGAAAGATCCTATGTACAAAGTAAAAAAAAACCCATACAATTAATCCTCAATTTAAAACCACAATAGGGGCCAGAAATATTGTTGTTAAGCAGCATAGTTCTTAAGTGAGGCGTCTTGTGATAGTATCCAATTTTATGAACATTTTTACCATGCATCATTAAATGAATCAGTATGGTTGTTAAGTGAGACATCACTTAACATATGACCTTCCCTGCTGGCTTCCCCATTGATTTTGCTTGTCAGAAGCCAGCTGGGAAAGTCACGAATGATGATCATCTCTCCATGGGACTCTGCTATGGTTGTAAGTGTGAGAAAGGTGTTAAGTCATTTTTCGGTAGTGCCATCATCATTTTGAACAGTTACTAAATGAATGGTGGTAAGTCAAGAACTACCTGTAGTCACTAAAATGTAGTCAAAGAGCAAGAAATGCTTATGACTTATAGAGGCAGAGAAATACAGTTATTTTGAAAGTTGGTGAAAAGGGCTAAACAATGAGTCTCCATTTGAATAGATTGAATTAAAAGAGGTAAAGTTATTTGGGATGAAAGTGAAATTTGGGAATGACAGAATGAGCATATCAAAGATTTATATGGGAATTATACTGAGATGCCAAAACCTAGAGTAAAAATGAAACTAAATATTAGGTCTCCTTTAAAAAAAGAAAAGAAAATCATAAATGCTATAAAGACATTGAAAAATAGAAAGACTTCAGAGGTAATAGGAGAAACATGTAGATGTGGATGTAGTTTGCTCAGAGTGTCTGTCATTCATTTAATAGAGTGTGTAGAGCACATCTGTGGTTAATGCCTGGAAGAATGCTATTCTTTTCATTTACTGTTTACTTATTTTCTGAGCTTTGTATAATGTTGCTTAACATAAACAGGAACAGAATAAATTGAATATGTTTGTAATGTATGAATATCCAGAGGTCATGAAGAGGCTAGAAAATTTCCAAAAGCATCTTCAGAAACTTAATTGTTATAAGAAACTGATAGTCAATGTTGAATAACAATGATTACATCACATGGCTTTGTGTGCATGATTGATTTGGCCATATGTGCTGCTTTCCCTAAGGAGGTACTTCCTCCAGTGGATTGTTGGAAAATGACTGGCCATGAGCAGGGATGCCCCAGAGTAACAGGAAGCAGTCATTAATTCTGTTTATTGATAAAATTGATAAAAAAAACCCTTAGAAGCAAGGCTATTTTTTAAATTCAATTTTTATCAATAAACAGAATTAAGAACTTGCCCAACGTTATGTTGCCATACAATTCAAAGCTACACAATCTCAACGCCAGTTGCGCCCCTTTCTGAGTTGGGATTCCTTATGCACAGTCACTCATGCTCTCGTCACTTCTCGCCTGGACTACGCTAACGCTCTCTACATGGGGCTCCCCTTGAGGAGCACCCGGAGGCTCCAACTGGTCCAGAATGCGGCCGCGCGGGTGATCACGGGAGCGACATGGCACTCCTATATAACACCTCTCCTGCGTGAGCTGCACTGGCTCCCGGTGGTCTTCCGGGTGCGCTTCAAGGTGTTGGTTCTCACCTTTAAAGCGCTCCATGGCTTAGGGCCAGGGTATTTACGAGTCCGCTTGCTGCTACTGATAACCTCCCACCGGCCAATACGCTCTCACAGAGAGGGCCTCCTCAGGGTGCCGTCAGTCAAGCAATGTCAGCTGGCGGCCCCTAGGGGGAGGGCCTTCTCTGTGGGAGCACCTGCCCTCTGGAATGAGCTACCTCCCGGAATACGGCTGATTCCGGATCTCCGCACTTTCTGTAAGGCCCTGAAGACGTTTTTATTCCAGCAAGCCGGCCTGGCCTGAATAGGTTTTAGGGGTTTTTAACTGTATTGCTAAGGGTTTTAAATTGGGGTGGCCATTTAATTTAATTTATTCTTAATTATTTTAACTTTTATATTGCATGTTATTTTAATTCTCGGCTGTTCACTGCCCTGAGTCCCTTCGGGGAGAAGGGCAGGATATAAATTTAATAAATAATAATAAATAATAATAATAACTTGACATTATTAGATAATTTGCTTCCAGTTGTATACTCATGATCAAAACTGATAGTGGTAGCAATGGGAAGCAAGGATTTCTAATGGTGGCAAATCACCTTTGGAAAATTGATCTGTTTTATGTAAGCTGATTGTCATTAAGCTATTACATAACATCTCCTTTTATTTGCTGTTACTGGTTCCATATGGACATTTTGTGTAAGAAGGAAAACGAATTTGTTTTTTTGATGACTAGAAAGAATAGGTTATAGAAAGAAGGGAAATACAATGAAATCTTAAGAGTGAAAAGGTTTGATTAAAATTGTTTGTATAACTTTTGAAAAGAAAACTGAAGTATTATGTTTTTGTTATATTATTCAAAATACGTTTAGGGACCTTAAGAATCTTAAGTATAAATGTTTCAGTAAATGAATACCACCTGCTGCCTCATTCAAAGTCTTTAACAAATATGATCTCTATCTGTGCCCCTTCCTGAAAGGAAGTTGCAAAGAATGAATAATCTAGGTAAGACAGAGAAAACAGTCTTGAAATGCTATTGCACACAATTATATCGCTATTGTTATTTTTCTTCAAGGTATCCTGCCTTCTGTTGTGCAGCATAAATAAATGAACTGAAACATTTTCAAAAAGAACCACTAGGCAGTGCACTAGAATAGAATCTCAACATGAAAGTGGGGACAAATTATGACTTTTGTTTCAGTTTAAACCCGGTTGTGTTGTTTCTTCAAAGAAACCGAAGCATTCAAGAAATACAACGACCTTATCATGAATATTAAAAGGGGTTTTAATCAAAGGCTTTGTGCACAGGTATTGAAAAATATTGAAAATATTCTACTCTTATGACTGGGTGCAGTGCAGCTTATCCCACAAATTTGATTGTTGGTCGGTTTCTTTGACTTTTATACCGCTCCTGCAGGTTGATGCTTCCATAAACATTTTAAATGCAACTCAAAACTTCAAATCTGTAAAAAAAAAAAAAAAAAAAAAAAAAAAAGTTGCCATCCGATTCTTTAAACTTCTGCTCAGAAACAAACCACACTGGGTTTTTTCTTCCTCACCATCCCGTTGAGGTTTGCCGTCTAAATACCGCATTGCAATAAGCGTTTTGACTGACGATTGCTCAATAGTTAAACCTGCAAAGACGAGTGGAAGGGCCAACCGCTAATTAACACGGTTGGGGGGGAGGGGGACATTTGCCCTAACACATGAGCCTTAAAACAACTGACAAAGTTATGCTTGGAACGGTAGCCTCGGAGAACGCAATTGCCTGCATTGCTGCTAGACGCTCCGTTTAAAGACAATTGTAGTGAGCGAGCTGGAGCGAGAGAGAGAGCGAGGGCGAGCGAGAGCGAGCGAGCGAACGAGCGAGGGCTGGGCGTGCTTTTGTATGCCATGACGCTGGGGGGAATCGTGGTAAAGAGCGAGGGAACTTCGCTTTTGCAAAGCATCCTGCCAAACGAGCCTCAACCACAGTATCTGAGCCAGTTTGGAAGGCAAGTCTCCGCTATCAATAGTTGAGCGTGTCGGCGAAATCCCTGCAGGACAAGAATGGGGGGCAAGATGAGGCGACTCATTGCTACGTCAAATGTTTTTATTTCTTCCTGATCTCGCTCTCGCTTTCTTTCGTCAATAATTCACCTCAGGGCTCCCACCCCCATCCACCCACCCCGTCTCCCGCCATAGCTTTCTCCTCCTGGATTCTGGGAGCGGGGGAGGGGGGTTTCAATGGCAAAGAAAGGGGCACCGGGAAGAGCTGATTTGGTCCAGGAGGTGTTTGGAAGCACATTTCCGATTGCTTTTTAAAGGATCCTTCCCTCCAAAATCAAACAGACTTTTTTTTTCTCCGCTGGAAATGTTGAAAATCTTTAGAAGAAGCTTCTGCTGCTGCTGCTGCTGTGCTGGTAGCAAGCGGTGTGTGTGTGCCTCTGTGCCTCTGTCTGTGTAAGAGTGGTGATTTTTTCCCCCCTCCGCTGCTGGTTGGGCTGCTAGAGCTGGCTTTGTGGCGTGGTCTGTGTAAGCGTGGAGAGAGGTGGAAAGGAGAGGAACGTTGGGGCGCTCCGCGCAAGGTTTCGCTGTCCGCCGCTCCTGGTGCTGAACATGGGCGCTTTAAGCAGGGCGCTGTCCATGGTGCCCACCATCCTCCTAACGTTGGCTCTCTCCGCTTTCCCCGTCTGGGCGCAGAATGACACGGAACCCATCGTACTGGAAGGGAAATGCTTGGTAGTTTGCGATTCCAACCCAGCGACCGATTCTAAGGGATCCTCTTCTTCTCCTCTGGGGATCTCTGTACGGGCTGCTAATTCTAAGGTGGCTTTCTCGGCGGTCAGGAGTACCAACCACGAGCCTTCTGAGATGAGCAACAAAACCAGGATAATCTATTTTGATCAGGTAAAAAAGAACGTACATGGGTAGCTTGCCCGTAAGTAGAAAGACATTCTAATCATTTCCTATGGCTAAAAGGAGCGTGTGTTTGGAGTGGGGAAGTTGGTTTTGCCTGAATTTTGTTTAAGGTGAGTTTTTTTTTTTTAAAGTGATTTCACCCCTGGAAAAGGGACTAGGTTAAAAGTGGAGAGGGAGGCAGCTGCTTACAGTACTGAGATGAGATAGGATAAGGACAGTAGGTGGGAATCAACAGGTGGAGTTGATTTGCAAACTCTTTAATCCTCCTTTGAAAGGAGTGGGCTGAAACTTAGGAATTGGAGACAGATGCTTTTGGTCCATTTGGTGGCTCTGTTCAGTTCATGAGATTTGTTTCTCCTCTGAAAAAGATGGTTAGCAATTTCACGCATGCTTTCCTCTGAGAATGAAGTTCTTTTTTTCTATTACTTATTGATTTCTGTTTCTACATTTCCACTTTACATTTAAAGGCACATGGAGGGTTAAATAAGTTCTGGCAGTTAGGATTTCACACATACACATACACAAAGAATCTGTCTCACATTATGACATAAGTAACAATTTTACTATTCTTGATGTGCTGGAATAATTGAGGTGATACCAGACAATACAGGAATGATTTAATGCTTCAGAGAGCATACTGAGGGAAGACTGTAAAAATCAACTTACTCATGTATCCTTGTAGTTTATTCCTGAGAATGTTTACTTAGAAATAGCAATGCATAAGATTTTGGTATTTTAATTTAACATTGATATCCTGAAAAAAAAAATAGCTGGAAATTTGTTAAAGGCTTCAAAGTGGAGGGAGGAGAGATAAAGTGAAGATATATAAAGAAAACCTCCAAATCTTCAGAAGCTCTTCAGTTGATTAGCAATCAGATTTCCCAACAGCTTAAACCTTTTATGAGTTTTCAAAATCATTCAAATCTTTCAATCTTAAATCTTTCAAATCTTTTATGAGGTTTCTGCACCCTACAGAACCTATATCCTACACCGGACTTACTCTGTAGTTAAATCGGCATGTATTTGGCATGGATATAGATAATGTACTGATAAAACTGAGTCAGATCTCACTAGTAAAATATGGAGGCAGTCCTTTGGAAAATTCACTGCACCTTAGTAGCATCACTGCAGATTTTTGCAACCTTGGAAGGACTTTCTGCACCCCTCCCTTCTTCCAAATCCATTCCTGAAATAGACAATAATAATTCCTTTACCCATATCTTTTGGAAAAATAGAAAAAAAATGTATTCCTCTTACTTTCCAAAATAACATCTTGCATTTCCAATTTTGATCTAATGTGACTTAATATAATCAATCTGTTTCAATAGGAAAATTAAACAAATGTGTCAGTTTTCCTGCTGAAAGTGATCCCATTTACAGGATGCAATTTTTGAACTGGCAAAGATCCATGTTTTGAAGGAGAAGACAGAAAGGCATTGGAGTTATATCATGCCAATTCTGGTTTAAAATCCATGTATCTAATATCCTACCATCAGCTGTTTATGCATTGTATGTGCTTATAGAGCTGTAGATACAGCAGATTTTTGCAAATATTAGCTGAAGGGTTTAATTAAGCCCACAAGTTATTTTTTAGTTTTTTTAAAGGCATATTTTTTGACTGGCTGACAGATCTGCATTTCTCCCGAGTGTTAAAGAGTCCTAGGAATCTTGTAACCAACTCAGTCACATTGTCATTAATCTTTTCAGGGGATCAGAAGTCAGGTGTATATGTAATGTAAGATACATACAGATGGTGGAACCCCATGACAGTTACCTGTTTCTCAGGGGAAGGAATAGAAGGCAAAGGATCAGTATTTTCCCACTTCTATCCAGATACAAGATATATAAGAGATGACTTTTAAAAGTATATGCTTCAGTTATATGCTTCTCTCCTCTACTTAAGTGTACCACTTAAAAATGCCCTACTCTTTCTGCAAAGTTTTAACTTCCCGTTTTCCTATGAGATACCATCCACTTCTTGCCTTCATATGTTTCATTTACATCTTCACATTCATTACTGGACATATTAGCCAGCATATGTTACTCATTATATGCAAACAATATTGCTTCTAGAATTGTCATGACAACTGAAGTACATCCCTACCCTGACTGATCCCAAAACATATTGCTAAGGTACACTCCAATCCTATACATGTTTATTGAGAAGAAAGTCCCATTGAATGGAGTTTATTCTCCTTTAAGCTCCCAGAAATGTATTTAGGCAGGTGGTCAAATAGATGGGGTAAGTGGATGATCTGTCCATTTCATTGATGTTGCTGACATCAAGGCACAGGAGAAGGATTACAACTTGCCTTATGAAAATGACCCAAGTAGAACTTCTACAAATATTTTTTTTCTGCAGAGCAAAAGAAGATATGAAGCTATTCTTCCTGTTACTGGTACTAGTATATTTTTAGATGGTAGAGTCATAGAGTATGCAATATTACATTCCATTACTTTTACAATAATATATTATTATTGTTTAAATAATATGCTATATGTGGTTTTTTATTATAATAATAATGATGATTTCTCATCTAGCTGTTTATAAAGTTTAGTCTTGTACTGGATCTACAGTTTTGTGTTATTCATTTTAATTTTTTAGCTATCTTGATGTAATCTAAAGAAATTGTTTTGGACAGGAGCGCTGATAAATTTATGCTGTAATATTTATTCAGGGATAGATAGATAGATATAGATGATATAGATAGATATAGATATAGATACACTCACTCACACACACACACACACACACACACACACAAAATCTCACTTCTCTTGGGATATATCATATCAGTGGATGATCCACTTTACAAGACACAATCCTTTCCCATCCTTTGCAAATGATCTGAGAGGGTTTTCTGTTCCTCTGTCTTCCAGATATGTTGGGCTGCATTTTTTTGTCAGCCCCTTGTAGAATGATTAGGGGTCAGAGTTTAATGGATGTTATGGTCAGAAACTTTCAAGGGCATCGCATTGAGAAAGGCTGCTGAAAAAAAATAGGCCTTACATGCAAAGCACATGTTAGATGGCTGTTATTCCATCAAAGTTTATTGAGAACTTCAGAGGGTGACCTGTTTATTTATAAGAAAGGGTTCGCGACTGTGTGGAATTTAATTGAAAGGCAAACTAAAATGTACAATATGCAAAGTGGATATTTCACAGCATGTTACATTTATTTTGAACAGTGCCCTCTGGTAAAAGATAACAGGGCAGAGTTAGAGGCAGACACATACAAAGCAGAATAAAACAATAAAGCAATTTTAAAGACAACAAATTATGAAAAAGTAGATGATATTTTAAAAGGTCCAAAGCACAGTGTTAATACATCTCTGGTGCCAGGAGAAGCCGGAAAAGGTATATTATATTAGATTCTCAGATAAATTCGTGGCAGAGATGAGAACTGCATGAGTGCATGAGCCATAGTTCAGATTTTTATAAATTCCTCTGTATTATATAGAAAGCCTTGGGATTCTACACTTTTATTTAAAAAAAAAGTGATTTAATGAAGTGGGTCTTATTTCCCAGTTAATGGATAGAGGATTGCAAAACTGGCCAGGCAAGTAATAACAATAATAATAAACTGTCAACATTAGGCATACTGAAATCTAGAAGAAGGTTAGTAATGAATACATCAGAAAATTGAAAAAAAAATTAAGGTCCAAACTCAGTGGTGGAAATACTATCAAGGCGATTAATACCTGGATAATTCCAGTCATGAAATGTGTAGCTGGAACAACGGATTTGACTCAAACAAAACTAGAAGTCCTGGATAGGAAGCCCCCACAAAATAATCACAATGAATTATGTGCTTCAATCCATGCATTGATGTTGACAGAATCTACTTACCAAGGAACATAGGTAGGCATGGAATATTGCAAGTCCACCAGACAATTGAAGAAAAAAAAGGACATTGGAAAAATATCTGAAGAACAGTGATGTACTGAAGCTGGGGTATCATGAAGACTTAGTGAACTCCGAAGAGACTAAACTGGCCCATATGAAAGACCAAATGAAGAATAGAAAACAGATATGGCAAGGCAAGTATATAGCCAGTATATTAAAAAGAAAAAACACACACAGGAAAATTTGATAACAAGACCTGGAAAGGGCTAAGAGCAGGAAAGTTGGAGAAAGAGACCGAAGGGCTGAATCTGGCTTCACAAGACCATACCTTAAGAACAAATGCATGTAAAGAGCCAAGGTGGCGCAATGGTTAGAGTGCAGCACTGCAGGCTACTTCGGCTGACTGCTAGCTGCAGTTCAGCAGTTCAAATCTCACCAGGCACAAGATTGACTCAACCTTGAGTCCCTTCGGAGAGAAGGGCGGGATATAACTTTAATAAATAATAATAATAATAATAATAACCTTCCATCCTTCTGAGGTGAGTAAAATGTGGACCCAGATTGTTGAGGGCAATATGCTGACTCTGTAAAGAGCTTAGAGATGGCTGTAAAAGCACTATGAAGCCAGAATTGAGAAGGCAGCAAAAGACAGCAAATGGCATCTCTGCCAAAAAGCTTAATAAACAGTGGACCACCTAGTTAGGTGCTGCAAGAAGTTCACACTGATTGATTACTAACAATGACATGACAAAGTACCAACAACGGTGTATATCACTTGACTACAAGCAAGAACTTGTAGGACCATAGAATAGACAACGTAACAGAAAATGAAGAAGCTAAAGCACTCTAGGATTTCAACAGATAAGCATCTGTCACACAACACCCTAGATTTAGCAATTATTCAATAAGACAAAAATGTCCAGATAGTGGATATTCCAATATCTGGAGACAGCCAAATAGAAGAAAAAAAAAAAAACTGGGGGAAAAGTCACAAAATATAAAGACCTGCAAATAGAATTAGAAGAACCATGGCAAAAGTTAATAGTAATAGATGCTATGGATGCAGTCTCAATACCTCTGGAGTATAATGTGAACACCATTGGCATTAACAAAATCATCCTTAGTCAATTGCAAAAGGCAAATTTACTTGGAGCAGCTTGCAGCCTGTAACAATACTGTTACCACCATCAAACAGCAACATCTCTATCCCAGATCCTTGGGAAGGACTCGTTAGGTGGATAAAAAATAATATCCAGTCTAAACATCTATATGACAAACAACGACAACAATAATAGGCACTTGGGATGCAATTCCAAAACAACTTGAGCACCAGTTGAACACCATTGACATTGACAAAATCAACATCAATCAATTGCAAAAGGGAGCTTTAGTTGGAAGAGCTTACAGCCTGCACTAATACCTTTAACAAACAACACCATCTGTCTATATGTGGTCCTTGGTAAGGGCCTGATAGATGGACAAAATCGCAAATCATGTCTATACATCTGGCTGACTGTATGACAATAACAACAACAACAACAACAACAACAACAACCTGGCCATCAAAACTACGCGATTATGGATGAAACATGTAATAGTGATACCCATTGTCATTGGGGCACTTGGCACCGTGTTGAACTTTACAAAATACATCAAAAAATTGCAGTTTCCTGCAATAACACCAGAGGAACTACAAAAAACTGTGCTACTCAAAACATTGTACATTTTAAGAAGATACTTGGTTGATACCTAGGATGCTGGCAGCAACCTGTATCAATCATTAGCACCAGTCAATCATATTTGTGACACATTTTTAAATGTTCAGTTGACTGAGTTTCATGTTTAATGAATAAAAGAGACATCAACAACAAAAATAATAGAGTTAGGGAGGAGAGATTGGCTCAAGAGCAGCAAAGAACAGAAATGCATGTTTCTCTTATGAACTCAGCTATCATTTTTGTAAGCAATAAGGATTATGAGATTAAGCACAAGCTTAGTGGGAAAGGTGGGGTTTATGTTAAGGTTGTAAGGAATAGACAGAGAAACGATATTGCTCAGGAAATGAAGACAAGAATTCTAAATAGTTATACTACTAAACTACAGATTTTCCTCAAAACTAGATTTAATTCAAGAATTTTAGTGTTGATAAAAAAAGTCAGGATAATTATTCATTGCTTTCTTGAATTAAAAGTAAAACATAGGTATAGATCTGGGAGAAGAAACATTATCCTTTCTATTTAGAAAACACTAAATGTTAATGTGGGGTCTTTTAAACAGAAATGTTGCATGTATACAACTTCAGACTATCTGATGTTGGCTCTCAATTTGTGTGGAATATTGGAGTCTGCATTCCAAAGTGAGTAGGATTACCCATGAATGTTTCAGTAAATTTAAGCGGGAGATGGATGGTAGCCTCAGCCTCATTCCCAGCTAATTTGAGATGGAAGCATTCACAAACTGAACTGTAAACTCTAAAAGAGTCTGCACACAATTTAAAACAAAGAAACAAATCAGTAAGAGCAACAATAACATCCAGCCTTGCCTATTTTACATTAAAACCTTATCCATTCCAAAGTTAAGTGGGATTCCCCAAGCCACCAAATGGAATTTTTCATGGCACAATCCTTCATAAAGACATAGTCATCCTTCCCACTGAGATGAATGGAGAATCTGTTTCCAGCTGAGGACAACCATAAGAACATTGATGCTCATATAGTTTAAGACATGGAATAACTTCATGTCATGAGCACATCCTGGATCTACAATATATGCCTGATGAAAGAAGAGTGCAAAAAATTGTGGAAGGAGATGGAAATAAGACATGAATGCACAGTGCTAATTGTGTCTGTCAGTTGTCATCTCTCTCTCTCTCTCTCCCTCCATCCCTATCTATATCTATCTATCTATCTATCTATCTATCTATCTATCTATCTATCTATCTATCTATCTATCTATCTATCTATCTATCATCTATTTTCTCTCTATCATCCATCCATCCATCTATCTATCTATCTATCTGTCTGTCTGTCTGTCTATCTATCTATCTATCTATCTATCTATCTATCTATCTATCTATCTATCTATCTATCTATCTATCTATCTATCTATCATCTATCATCTATCATCTATCTATCTATCTATCATCTATCTATCTATCTATCTATCTATCTATCTATCTATCTATCTATCTATCATCTATTTTCTCTCTATCATCTATCTATCTATCTATCTATCTATCTATCTATCTATCTGTCATCTAAAAATTCCCTTCTTATCCCTATAGATGGTATGTGTCTTCCTCCATCTTGAGTCCTCTATCAATGGCCTGGGAGTTCGAGGGTTCCGCACAATACCTCCTAACTTTGCACTCTTCTGAACAGAGAGCTCTGAGGTTCTTGGGATCAGTTGGAGCCATTCTCCCATCTTAGGAATCACAGGCCAAATGCTTGTACTACCCCTGGGACCACTTTGATCTTTACATTCCACTTCCTCTCTAGTTCCTCCTTCAGACCCTGGTACTTCTCCAGCTTCTCATACTCCTCCTTCCTAATGTTGCTGTTACTTGGCATGGCTATATTCTGAGTGGTTGGCTCTACAGCCATGGTTGTACTTATTGCGTACTTATTGGGAACCATGGTTTTGGATCTGAGCATGTTCCGGATCGATTCAGTGTAGCAAATGCCTTGCATTGCACCATCAATAGCTGAAGGAAATTCTGTAGTGTTCTCATTCATTGGCCAAATAATCTTGAAGATTCAGAAGTGTTGTAAAGCTTGATCCACTTGCTTGAGTAACAGAAGTTTGTGGGCAGCTTTATTCAACAGCTGGCATTCATTGTGCTTCTGTTTGTATCTGCCTGGCTACTTTGGTGAGGCTTACGTAACTAAAGAACTTGAAGATTTGTGCTAAATGTTTTTAGCTATCTAAGTAATTCTATTCCATGTGATGAGATGACTCACCTGCTCGAAACCCAGCATGAACTGTAGTGGAACTGAGCAGCCTCTCAGCTGGTTGTAGAAAAATATGTCACATGACTCTAAGTATACTCAGAAATAGGTTCCTGTTGCTTTCAGTAATGCTTACTCTCAACTAAGCATGTGGAGAAGTTAAAGAATGCGAGGAAGGAATTTCTATACCTTTAATTGAAAATAAGTGGGTTTTATTCAAATAATAATAGCACACATTACATCTTGTTATGAGGGTGTTGGAAGTAAAATCAGACTATTTGCATACACTTCAGTGTCAGATGAACAATGCGCAAAACCTGTAATTAAACTTGGGTTCATTTAAAATAATTATTTCATTGTTTTCCAGAGCTTGGAATGCTTCCATTAATTACTGGTTTCTTTTCTTTTATTTATAGATCCTAGTAAATGTGGGCAATTTCTTTACATTGGAGTCTGTGTTTGTAGCACCGAGAAAAGGAATATACAGTTTTAATTTTCATGTAATTAAAGTCTACCAGAGCCAAACAATTCAGGTATGTTGAATTAAAAAAATAATCTTTGAGGTTAGCATGGTTAATGTTTCTGTCTTTCCTTCTGTCTTTCCTTCTTTCCTTCTTTCCTTTTTTCCTTCTTTCCTTACTACCTCCCTCCCCCTCTATCATACTTACATTGGATATTAGCTTTAGTCTAAAAGCATCATGTTGTAGGTTATTAGGGTGCTGTCGGCCAAACAATGTCGACTGGCGGCCCCCAGGGGGAGAGCCTTCTCTGTGGGGGCACCTGCCATCTGGAACGAGCTCCCCCCGGAGATACAGAGGATCCAAGACTTACGCATCTTCCGCCGCGCCCTAAAAACATTTTTATTCCAACAGGCTGGTCTGGCCTAACTCTCCCTTTTAAATTGGGTTTTAAATGTTTTACATAAATTGGATGTCTTAAATTTGTTTTTTGAGCCCAAACTATTGAATCTATTTTTAATAGCTTTTAACTTTTGTATGTTATTTGTATTTTTATCTTGGCTGTTCACCACCCTGAGTCCTCCGGGAGTAGGGCGGTATACAAATATGATAAAATAAATAAATAAATAAATAAAAAATAAATATTAAAAATATATAACATATCAAAAGAATCCAATATAAACATGAATGAAACAATACGGATAGCTACTGGTAAGAAAGACCAATAGATTTTAACAGAGAAATCAGATTACAGTCTTACATGCCCATTCTAGATATGGCAGCTTGTCCAAAATGTCCCAAGTTGAGTTTCATGTCACAATTTCTTCATAACTCACTCATCAAAGAGCATTAAATACCAGGAATGCAATGCAGCCAAAATTAAGTTGGCACAGCTTCTCTGTATACTCTTTCTAGAGTCTAAACATCCTTTATATTGTGGCGACCAAAGCTGGGTGCAATAGTCCAAGTGTGGCCTTAAGAAGGCATTAGAATGCTGAACTAACACTTTGCGTGACCTTGAAAAGCAGTACACGCATCTAAGAAATGTTTTATAAAACATTATGCAGAGAGCTTGTCTATATCTAAAGGCATCAGACCCTAAAAATTTAGAAAGACCTGTTGAGATTCTTGTAAGCAGTTTCCTTTATTGTTCTTCGCCTATAGAAAAGACATTTTGCCAAACTAAAGCAGACTATGTGCACCTTAAAACATATACTCTGGAAACTATTAGGGAGCAGCTGTCTTCACTCTCTCTCTCCCCCACACTAAATTGCACTTTTCTTCCTTCTCTGAAATGTACTTCTGCCTCCTGGGAATTCAGAAAACATTCCATCAGGATACCAGTGTGTTATTTCTTTCTGTAGCTCTGCACAGCAACCTGAGCAACTATAAGATCTGTGGAAACTCCCAGAAGTCTTAACAATGGCCATGCGGAGTGGGGAATTTTGGGAGTTGAAGTCCATATGTGCTAAATATGTCTTTTTTTTTTTTTTTTTTACAAAACACTGATTTATAGGAACAGAGGTAAATAATAAAAGGCCACCCCACTTACACAATTTGGAAAACCTCAATACAATGCAGATTTTAAAAGTTCAAAATGCAACGTTAAAATCTGAAATGTTACAGAAAAGAAGGTAGATTATTATACTATTACTAGAATTGTTAAAATTTATGAGAAGGCAAATATTGAATAGTGAATTACAAAAGCAGAATATACATGCTGATTAGTGGTGGGTTTCAAATTTTTTTACTACCAGTTCTGTGGGTGTGGCTTGGTGGGCATGGCAGGGGAAGGATACTGTAAAATCTCCATTCCCACCCCACTCCAGGGGAAGGATACTGTAAAATCTCCATTCCCACACCACTCCGGGGGAAGGTTACTGCAAAATCCCCATTTCCTCCCAATCAGCTGGGAATTGGGAGGCAGAGAATAGATGGGGACGGGGCCAGTCAGAATGTTTACTGTTGGTTCTCCAAATTACTGAAAATTTCTGCTACTGGTTCTCCAGAACTGGTGAGAACCTGCTGAAAACCTACCTCTGATGCTGATATGGAAAGCTGTAAAATTATATTACATTGTTGTGTCGCTTGTGTTTTTTATTTATTTGTATTTGTATTTGTTTTCTTTTTCCCCCCTTTTTTCTTTTGTACTTATGTTTTTTTTAAAGTTGGAAAATGTTCAATAAAAACAATTTTTAGAAGAAAAGAAAAGAAAGTAGAGCTTTAGTTGGAAGAGCTGCAAATTGCCAAGCAAACTATCCTTAACTGCATGAGTGCATAGATAAGTATGGCTGGGAATGTTCCTTTAGTCTCACTGGTCCTAAATAATTATAGTCTTTACAGCTCAGCACCAAAACTTTGAACTAGGGCCAGAAATGGACAGGAAATAATTGTGGCACAACTGTGATGGTATAACAATTTTGCATGAAACATCATTGGCTAGTGATAAATGTTCTCAAGAATTAATTTTTAAGCAAAGATATGTAGGGTTGAGTCATAACAAATCTATAGCAATGTACCAGAAATTCTTATAGAAAATAACATTAGGATTTCAGATCATTTCCCTTGAAATACGAAGCCAGCTTTCTAAGATGATGTCATATACTTTTGTATGTTTAGAAGGCACAAAGCGATACAATGTTCATGAAGTTGGTTTGTTTTGGACTCCTGGCTGAAATGACTTGCCTCCAGAAGTAGTGGATGTTTTTTTTTTTTTTAATTTGATTTATATGCCGCCCTTCTCCGGAGACTCAGGGCGGCTTACAATGTGTTAAGCAATAGCCTTCATACTTTTGTATATAGCTGCTTAGTAGGGCTTTCGACCCCCCCCTAAGCGGTATTCTTTTTTATGCAAAGTCAGCTTATTGCCCCCACAAACCAGCTCCTCATTTTACCTACCTTAGAAAGGATGGAAGGCTGAGTCAACCTTGAGCCTGGGGAGATTCGAACATGCAGTAATTGTAGGCAGCTGAATGTTAATAACAGGCTATAACAGGCTATTAGTCTGCTGCGCCACCAGGCTCAGTGATGTTCCAACACTGGAGGTTTTTAAGAAGTGGTATAGGGTTTCTTGCTTGAGCAGGGGCTTGGATTAGAAGACTTCCAAGGTCCCTTTCAAATCTGTTGTACTGTTGGCTACTCACTTATGTGTAGTCCATTGTTTTCCAGGAGCCAAGAAGTTATAAAGGCGGTGATTAGACTTTGAGAGATTGCTAGACCTTTTTTTGTGTGATGGTAGTTTAAAAGCCTCTTTCATTTCTACTTCAGAATCATTGCAGACGATAAGCATCATGGTGGAAGACATACTAAATACTAGTTGTGGGCTTCCCTTTTAAACTCCTTATATTTCTGCAACCAACTGCCTCTTAAAAAAAAAAAAGAAGGCGGCAAGATGAGCTATGATAAGGAGGTGGAACGGCATCTGGGGAAATGAATGGTCAACAGAGCATACCTCTCCTAGGCTTATAATGCCTATCTTCATTTCGCTGAATATATTACTGCAATAGCTCGAGAGCAATTTCGTTGTAATCTGTTCCTGCGTTGCCTGAGCTCATGAGTCTACAGCCTATGCCTCAGAAATGGTGAGAGTTGAAGTTAGCAAGGCATGAAGCTTGGAAATAGAGAATTCCTTTATGAAAGCATTAAGCAGGTGGCCATAACAACCCATTTTGAGAAAAGCGTGGCTTCCCTCCTCTGCAAGGGAGAAAGAAATTCAGGGTTTTTTCGAATCATGCATATACAGGTAATCCTTGACTTACAACAGTCTGTTTCGTGACTGTTACCACAGCACTGAAAAAAGTGACTTAAGACCATTTTTCACACGTATGGCCATTGCAGCATCCCCTATGGTCATGTGATTTACATTCAGATGCTCGACAACTACCCTGTTTCCCCCAAAATAAGACCCAACTGGAAAATAAGGCCTAGCATGATTTTTCAGGATGCTCATAATATAAGCCTTATCCCCCAAATAAGGCCCAGTTAAGATCATCGGCAAACGGAGGCGTTTAGTACTTTATTTTCACAAAATAAGACCTAACCGGAAAATAAGCCATAATGTATCTTTTGGACCCAGTCTTATTTTGGGAAAAACACAGTAGTTCATATATGTGAAAATTGCAGTGTCCCGGGATCATGCGATCAGCTTTAGTGACTTTTTGACAAGGAAAGTCAATGGGGGAAGCCAAGATTCATTTAACAACCATGTTACTTACCTAACAGCCGCAGTGATTCACTTAACAAACATGGCAAGAAAAGTTGTACAATGGGGCAAAACTCACTTAACAAATTTCTCTCCTATCAATATAAATTTTGGGCTCAGTTGTGCTCGTAAATTGAGGACTACTTGTATACATGTAATTTGACTCTTAGTTTGATAGAGGATGCTTTTCTATCCTTTAAGTTGTGTGACAACAATAAAGACATTTTATATATTCAAGCTGAATCTTAACTTTTCTCTGAGTGCAACAGGATCTGGCAAGAGCTTTTGCAGGTACCCGAGGGCTGCATTGATAGGGCTACAGCTCTCCTCAGGCCTCGTGAAATCCAGCAGGTTCTGACAGATTCTGGAGAACCGGTAGCAGAAATTTTGAGTAGTTCAGAGAACAGGCAAATACCACCTCTGGCTGGCCCCAGAGTGGGGTGGGAATGGAGATTTTGCAATATCCTTCCCCAGGAGTGGGGTGGGAATGGAGATTTTGCAGTATCCTTCCCATGCCACGCCCACCAAGCCACGCCCACCAAGCCACACCATGCCCATCAAGCTACACCCACAGAACCGGTAGTAAAAATTGGAGACTGTGAATGCTAATCCTGCCTTAGGCATGAAAGCCTGTTGAGTGACTTTGAGCCAATCACTAGGAGTTGTGAGTTCTAGTCCTGCTTTAGGCATGAATGCCAGGCGGGTGACTTTGGGCCAGCCACTCTCTCAGCCCAATCCAAGGTTGTTGTTGTGAGGAAAATAGGAGGAGGAAGGAGTATTAAGTATGTTTGCTGCCTTAAGTTATTAATAAAGTAATGAGTGGAATAAAAAAATGAATATATTAATAAAATAAATAGAACCCCTGGGAAGCCCC